CCACATCTCCGGTTAATATCAAGCATGCTTAAGTTGGATTGAAAACGATTAGTCAGTCGAGTTCACTCATTTCCATTTCCTCAGACCATTCACTTGTAAGCTCGGTTTTATGAAAGAGCATGCTTTCGTTCTGAAAGAGGTATTGAACAGTTTTAAACTGTTGCCACAGTTCAAACAGAATTGATTTGTGTATTATGGTTTCGCAGCTCTCAGTATTTAAGTTTCCTTGCATTAAAATTAGTGAATCAAGACCAAACTAAAAAATGTAGGGCATACACGAAAATTTCTCCTCCTCCTAACTTCGTAGCGTTGATACTACATTCCGGTAAATAACGTGTACAGTCCAGTAGATCAACTTTTGTATGAAAACTGGAGTAGCAGGAAACTAGACAAGAGAAGGGTTATAGTACCCTTTATTGGCTCCTTAACATTTACAATGCGTCAGCTCGACGCTAACAAACTTCGCCTCTGCTTGGGCGGTAACTGAAAATCAAATAACGAAACTAAAATTTGAAGATATTAACAAATGATAGCACTAAACTACAGGGCTCAGTGAAGTGCCTTAACATAAACCCCTTCGAAACTAGTGGCAGCAAATAAATGCAATTAAGACACTTACCAGCAATAAGCAAACCTATCTACGGCAGAGGTGGCGGCTAGAGCCTAACTTTCTCTTTCTCCTACCGAAACTCGGCTTTTAAATACTTCCCGCAAAGTAGAAATTTGCATTCCTTCACGCGCTCGACAACATTTAAGTATTCTGGCACTGACAATTAGGGGAATGAAGATGCTTATAGGAAAGTGTTTAAAATTAAATTTTAACTTGTTAGTTAAAATAAATATAAATCCCTACAAACGTTTAGCTAATGTTCACCAAGTCAGCACAAGCCCATTAGATTTCCGCAGCATCTAGCGTGATTCATCACCTCAAAAGAATCGTCATTTATCCATCGTCTATTGGTTAATCGTTTGACACCACTGTAATCGACGCAACGAGCAGCATTCTATGTATGATCTCGGCTTATATGTGGTCAGCAGCATCTAGCGTGATTCATCACTTCAGAAGAATCGTCATTTACCCATTATCCACTGGTTAATCATTTAACACCACTGTAATCGATGCAACGAGTAGTATATCTTGGCTGATATGTATTATGGCTTGCCCATAAAAGCTAATGGCAAAAACCTCTTGACGGATAGTACGAGATCTGGCTTCAAATCTGGTCGAAAACCTCTAGCTATATTTTCTAACAAGTCCACTGATATATTTTTATCACAAGCTGAAGATATTGATGGCTTCGATCTGTTATTTGTTTTGGATTCTTAGCCCGACGTTATAAATTTATAATTCTTTCACGTTTCTGTTTTGCTACTACAAACATCCGTTTTTGGATAGAGCGCCTGGAAATTTCCCAAAATTTCAGGGATTGAATGACCGATTAGGTAGGTGCCAATATGAATGCCATGCCAAGCTTCACTCAACTGGCGTCTTAAATGTGTTCTTTCGATGGCAGCAGTTGGCATATATTTCAACACTGGAGGCTCATTGATCTTTTGCTCGTACCGATATCTTTTGCTAGTACCGATGTGCACCAATATCTCGAGAGACATTATCAGATTTGTCAGAAAGTAAAGCAGGAGTTTGGATTGCCTATATTTAAGTGCACATAACAAATCAAAAGGCTCTGCAAACGGATTTTTTTTATAAATTATTACAGCTTTGATACCTTTCCTTTTAGTACCCTGTTCAATGGAATTAATATTTATTTTATAAGTAATCGATGCCATGCTGTAAGCTACATATTCTTTATCCTAGTGTTCGTGAATTTCGCTTACATGGAAATGATGCAACAGTTAATCGTAAGACGTTTTCTGTATGCTAAGTTGCTGTCAGTAAATATCAGTGCTAAAGGATTTAAAAGTTCTCAGGGGGAAATGTTATCCTTGAAGACAAGCCTAGAACTAGGTAACCAAAGAAGATAAAAAATGATAACATGAAGATACTGATTAAGTCAAAAAAGTGAGTGAAGAAAATTCATATCACTAGTAATAAAATAATTCCTGAGAAATGAAAATCATCCAATTTTTTTTTTCTATAGGTACTTGTGTTCCAGATTAAGTCGCAGGGAAAAAAGCATCAGCAACGAGAATATTTGTGCTTCTCTGAGTATAAAAAAATAAGTGGAACCTTTCTTAAAACGTGTTAATACAACAGGTAAAATTTATTTTAGTCATGATGTAACTAGAAAAAAGTTAGGATTGAAAAAGAAAGACAGATATCTCAAAAAAAAAAAAAAAAAAAAAAAGAAAAGAAAAAAAGAAAATCCAAGGTCAGCATTCTAAGGAGAGGTTCCTTGCATATGACGGTTTGTTTCCTATTTGCTTATTGGGTAAAAACGTGCAAATTGTTTCTCGTTATTGGCAGTTTCAAGTTGTAAATTCAAATAAATCCCAAAGGTCCGCCCTAAAAAAAAACCTGAAATTAATTTGATCTATTTCTGCTCGTTAGCAACAGCGAAGCTTCTCTATTATTTCGTTTCTAATGACGGAAATTGTGGTTTATTCTTAAGTGTTAGGAAATAAACAAATAGTTAATGAAAATATCTGTTGCACAGTAAATATCTATTGCTATCCGATTGACCTTCATCAAGAGATGTTAGGTGATTTTTCAGCAGGATCACGCTATTTTGAGTATTGCAAAAGGGATTCGACGAAAGCGTCATAATAAGAAATTCTTACTGATCCGCCTAAGATAGTCCAGATGTGTCCCTTCCAGTTATTACCTATTTTAGTAACTGTAGCATTTTCTTACTAGAAATATAAAAATTAATATTTTGAATCGAAAATAATGCATCCTTCCCCCCAAAAAAGTATTCAAAAATCATAGAAAATGGTAGATATTTTGCAATAACTATTAATTTTATGCAAAAATATTTTTTTTTCCTACTTGAAGTTGTTTATAGACATATAGAGACATTAGGATATTTTTTTTAAAAGCAGACAAGATGAAAAATTAGCAACCGCCTTTGCCGGGAATCGAACCACGGACCGCTGGAATACCGACCCAGAGTGCAGAACCACTACACCACGAAGGCACGCTAGGAAAGCGGGAGAAATACCTTATAAGCCTACTATTAATTTTTGATAAAACTGATACTACTGTTTTAATGAGTATCTACACTTTAGTGAGGCAAGAAAGCTGCTGAGGCAGGCGATGAGATATGCGAAGGTGCTGATTGCTTAAAAGAACGCTTGTGTCAGAATCGGTTCAAAAAGTTTCTTTGTGGAGATTTTTCATTTGACGGTGACCAGCGTTCTGGTCGGCCTCCCGAAGTTGATGATGATAACATTAAGTCCATGATCGAGTCGAATCGTCGTATAGCTATGTGAACGATTGCAAAAGAGTTAAGGGGTGTTGGAACACCAAAATCTTCAAAAAATTGTGATTTCGAATTTTTGCATTTTCAAATTCTCTAACACTTTTATCATTTTCAAACACTTTTATCTTTCTAAAAATACCATTCTTTAATCTCTATGAAAATTAGAACTGTAAAAAAAATCTAGTTTTAATTTGTCTAATACTGCTTTGATCAATGAGGAGTTTTACATAAAAACGCGTTTTTCTCGAAACGTGATTTTTTTATACTCGATGTACTTTTTCTCAGGAACTACTACTCACAGGTATCTAAACTTTTTATGGCTTATTTATTAGGTTCCCTAATATTTACTGAAATGAGCTTTTTGTAATAAACTTAGAAAACAAAATTTTTTTTTGTGTGGGGAAAAGTGCTAAATTTTACTATGCCTAACAAATTATTCTGTAATTTACTCTAAAATTCAAAATGCTTCAAAACCTCATTTCAGTATAATCAGATAGGTATACTTTAATTACAGAAAAAATTTCAAGCTTGTACCTACAGCAGATTTGGAGAAAATGTACATCGAAAATGGCCAATTTAACATTGTCGGTATAGGGATTTCTTATACCCCTTAAGTGTATCACACACAACAACTGAAAATCACTTGAGATATCTTGGCTCATTAAGAAGTTCGATACTTGGGTTCTTCATGAATTTAAAGAAATTCGCTTAGCACAACGAATGAATATTTGCAATACGCATTTCAGACATAATGAAATTAATTATCACAGGTATTTAAAAAAGTCTCTTACAATAACATTAATTGAAAAAGATCATGGTCCAACCATGCTGAAACAGCACAAATCACATCGAAATCTAAATAGCATCAGAAAAGATTATGTTGTCAATTTGGCAGGATTACAAAGGTGTTGTACATTTGAGCTGTTTCTAAGCAAACCAATCGATCAGTTCATATGTCTGTTGCCAGAAGCTTATGAAACTGGAGGAAACAATCAAAGAGAAAAGGCCAGAGTTGGTAAATCGAGAAGGTATCATGTTCCACTACGACAATACGAGGCCTCACATTAGCATTACGCTCGGAATTCTTGGAGCTTGATTGGAAAGTGATGCCGCATCACCAGTATAGCCTCGACCTCGCACCATCGGATTATTTAGAAGTTTGCGAAACTTCTTAAATGGTAAAACTTTCATAATAACGATGGTTTCAAATCGCACTAGCTTGTGTTTTTTGCTGATAAATATCAGAAATTCTATGAGTGCAGAATCATGAAGTTACCAGAAAGATGGCAAAAAGGGGATCGAATAGAATGGAAGATATTTGACTGATTAAAGCTCATTTTTTACATCGAAAAATTGAGTTTTATTTCACATTAAAAACCGAAATTACTTTTTGGTTAACTCAATATAATAGAATCCATTTGAAATTTTATGAATATATAACAAGAGTTTATTGCATTACTTTAGCATAATACATCATGTCATTCGTTTTAATAGTTTATCGAATAATTTTAACAAATATTTCCATAACTCATTTCCTACATATGCAAACTGATGAGGAAAAATATTAATATTATAACACAACTTTGAATAAATCAGTTTTATTTTTGATTTAAAGCTTACCTATTACAAAAGGGACCAAAAGCACTGTCGGTGATGAAAGAATATTGCTTGATGCAATAGCAACAGCTTGTTTCTTGATGTGGATGAATTGTCCTATTAGCAATGGAAATGTAATAATGACACCAGATTCAAATATTCCATACACAGCTACTAAGATCAACAGCATTGTGTAACTGTATGCGAAAGATATTGAAATCACAGAAACTGCCATGCCGAAAAAGCAGAGTACGATGAAATGGCACCTTGCTGAAAAGCAGAATAAAAAGAAATGTTAGAGAAACATGATGTTTATGTTTGTGCGTTTATTTAAAAATTAGTATACGCAAGCAATTGTAACTCATAGACAGTAATGTAATAACTTCAGTTAATTTGTAAAAATTACAAAAACATAATTTAAAATTAATTGGATATTTACTGATTAAAAGCCTGTTGATATATAAATTTATAAGGACCATATAAAAATGATAGATAAATCTGATACATTTCAAGATTAATAAATTCTTTCCTATTCTTTTTGACAAACTTCATATATTATTATAAATAATTATCTCGTAGAACTAGTATAGGTAAGATATTGAACAAAATAATTTCATTAGTTAATTAAAATTTGCTTTATGAATTTCATTGATTTTTAAAATTTTGATTAGGGCATTTTTATTATTGCTTTCTAATGTGTCACGAAGTACGTTTAATGTGAATGTGCGATATTTAATATTAAGTGTTGCAAAACACATACTTCAAACTTTCACTTGAAATAAGTATATTAAAAATAATTTTTTTTTTGTATAATATAACTTGATAGCGACTGCTTTAGAAAAGTTGAAAAATTACTTTTCAGAAGTACCCATACACAATCGAAATTCTTATTGTTAAAGCAATTTTATTGAATTTAGCAGTACGGGGAACGCTCATGCGCGAAAATAAGCAAGAATAACTTTGATAATTAATATTTTCAGGATTAGAGGTGAAATGATGAATTCTTTAATTTCTGGAACTTTTGGTTTTTGACAGCCGCAGATTTACAATCAGTAAAGAGGGAATCTAAGAGGGAATTCATTTTAATGTAGTTTTGATAAAGTTCTTCAGCAATATTTTTTTTACTAAAGGAGAATATTTTGGGCTATTTTGGGCAACACATTATTTTCCATAAATAATCCGTAAAAAAATACTTTCAGCAATTAAATTATAAATACATACTCAGCAAAGATGCACTTTATGTCGCGTTTACGTAAAAACATAATTTAAAATGATGAGTGATATTTTGAATTTTATTTTCCTTTGCAACGTTTACAAGCAGTTATGTTCCTAGCGAGGACCCTGTTTGATAAGCAGAATGAGTGATCTAATGAACAGAGATTCTGTTTCAATATTGAGGTTTCTTACTTTCATTTTAAAACATTAAACGTCTAATACATTAAAAACAACTGATATAAAATAGCTATAACTTAATCCTAATTTTATTATCATGTATTTATAGGAACTAATCTGGGTAATTCTACTGTTTTTGAAGTCATTAGAAAGAAAATAATAAACCAATGCTAAGTGCTTAACGCAGGTAGGCTATGGTTTGTTATATTCAATATTAAAGAGACTAATTATTATATAGTAAGTAACTAAGTAATTAAGAAATTATATAGTAGCATTTAAGAAAGTAATTATTATATAGCCAAATAATTAGAATAATAAATATATGTACTGAAATAGAAGATTTAAAGGAAGAAATAATAAAATTAATTATTGTTCAAGTAAACCAGATTCCAACACAATTTATTAATTTCTATATTAAAAGGCAGACATTAACTTTTCTTTTTAATTTTTTAACTCTTTATGGTATGATAATGTTACCTTAATTATTGGCTGGAGGGTAATGGGGGATTTTGAAAAGTTAAAGGATTATACTTGTAAATATAAATTAATTATTTGTAAAAATGTACAATTTAATCTATACTATATTCTTTCCTTTTACTAATGAAGGGCCAACTCTTTTCAAAAGTCTCAAGTATAGCCCGAATTGAGTGAGGATTTTTATATAGTTTTTCTAATTTTCCTTACCTTTGGCCAGTATTTAGTTAAAGTTTTAATTAAACTTGTAGAACTTCAGCTTTAAATAATGCAGTCTAGTGCAAAAAAATTTCTTACAATAATTCTCTATTATTTCAATTTGTGATTTAAAAAAAATTAAAAGTAGTTTTAAAAAAATTAAAAATAATTTTCAACTTAAAATTAAATTAAATTAATTCAATTAAAATGTTTATTCGAACTTTTAATTTTACTTCAAAATTTTTTTTACATCCTTAGCAGTTTGCAACATCTATTTTCACAACAGTAGCAGTTAACAACTTTTACAATTTTTTACACAGTTTTACAACGCCTCAAGTCAGCAACATTTTTGCACACAAATAAGCATTTTACATTTTATATTACCTAATGTTTACGGCATAGGTTTTTACAATAGCTCTCGCAGGTAGCAGCTAAACACTCAACTTTACACTGTATTAGCCCTCTATTTATTTTGTTAGCAGTAACAAACTACTCAATCTGACTTGATTTAGCAAATGCTAATCCACTCTCAGGAATTCAAATGTGTAGTTGTAGGTAAGTTATATTAAAACTTGCTATTTACTAACCTTTTCAATATTATTTTTATATTTTGATAGATTGTATATAGTTTATTACATGCATAATTCGTGTAGGGGAAGTTTTTCAATAGGCAAGACTTTCTAAATTACTTTGGTTTTCTGAAAAACCTGGTTTTATTCTCTTATTTATATTGATATTTAATTAATATTTTAATTCCTAGTCAATTTACTTGCTAAATTTCTCAAAATTTCTACTAGTTTATTTTTTGGTAATTCACAACATTTGATTTTACTTTTGGTTCTGAATTTTACTATACCCTTGCCTATATGGATGAGGAAACACGAATTGAGTAATTGAAGAGTTAGGTTTTGGAGGCAACTTCCCGTTGAAAATTCTGTCTCCTGCCTGCTCAACAATTATCTACTTATGCAAATGAATTTGGTCTTAAAAATTCCTTAAAAAATTTTTGAGATTAATTTTTTGGAATTATATATTTTTTCGTTGGTTTAGATACGGGCACTTAATTTACATATGCTCTTAGAATTTAAATGATATTGTTCGCAGCACTAATTAATTTTTTATTTTTGCAATTAAAATTTCTTAATTAAATTTTAAATTTTATATTAGCTTTATACAAATAGAGAATATTTGTTAAATTTAAAGAAAGTAATAGTGTTTTACTTACAAATAAATCCTCTGTCTGTGATTATTCCCAACGTCAATGTTCCCAAAAGATCAGCTGTGGATAGAACCATCAGAACGTAATGAACTTGGCCTTCAGGAATATGAATATCTTTGGCAAAATCTTCAATGATTGTGATCACACACACTATGATGAACGTGTATAAGGACATTGTACCACTGATAACCACAAACATTGGTTCCGCGTACATTCGACACCATCCCAGAAAGCAGTGTTTCGTTTCTTTTACTAATGCGGAGTTAGTATTTGTTAATTTAAAACGTTCGCAGCTTAAAACTCGATGTCTGCTGTTCCGAAAGCTATTAGAGCTGAATTTGTGACTTTTGAGTGATCTTAATGCTTTTGATTTAGATGTTTCATGTGGTATAACTTGTTTATGACAATAAATTAAATTTTCTGGAAATGATTCTGAATTATTAGAATTCAGTTTTTGTTGGAGAGAAGTATTATATCTTTTTATTGGCACAAGTTGATGATTTCTTATATCAAGACGTTCTGCATTTTCTTGCGAATTCACAGCTTTAGAGTATAGTTCTTTTTTCTCATCCCTATTGCTAAGCAACAAATCATCCGATACAAGAGTTTTAGAAGTCTTTACACTTTTTTGGTCATATGAATAATCTTCATTATTGTTTAGTGTAGTCTGAGAACAATTTAAAACTTTGTAATGGCGCAGATTGACAATGTTGGGACATAGAATGAAGTGGAAACAACTGTAAGATATCAGCTTAACGTTCTCCTTTTGTACTGATAAACTCTTTGCATGTAAATTGAAAGAATACTTTTTATTTAAAAGAGGAGAAAATAGCAATTTCTTAAGCTTTGCTAGTTTTACTTTGTATTTATGCTTGGATTTTCTTCTTGAAAATATGGACCTGTCTATAAACCTTCCGTTTTCATAGTCTATTTTAGGGACATTGCACCATACTGGAAGTAGGTTGGTATTACTGTTCTTATTATCTGAAATATTTATACTTGTATGTAAATCTGGGATACTGTTATTCTTATAAGAGGAAATATCGGCTGTCTCTTCTACGTAATTATTTGAAGCATATGTCTTATATTCAGTGTCAAGGTTTAATGGCAATGCCTTAATTAGACAAATCGGTGGAATGACACTATTCTTCTCGAAACCTCGTTTCTTTAAAAATAAGTTTTGAGGCTTGATATGTTGATAGATTTTACGCCAAAATTTAGAACACTGTTTATCCTTTTCTTTGTTGTTGCAATGCAATTCATCATGAAGTATTTCCGTTTTATTAATATGCAAATTGTCTCTAATCTCATTGGAAGGTGGCTCTCGAAATAGCAAAGCAGCTGCCATTATGTTCAAAACGCTGCCGGATATAATGAGAAACGTTCCTTGTAAACCATAATTTTCTAATAGAAGAACTATAATTGGAGGAAACACAAATGATCCAATGTATGAGCCAGAATAGGATATTCCCGATGCAGTTCCACGATGTCTGACAAAATGCTGGTTTATAGCGAGTGGAAGAAGACAAGTTGAAAGTCCAAAGCCAGTACCTGAAAACATACGTTTATGAAATTCTTATTTATGAAACTGCTCGAAGAAGAAGGCTTTGAATAATATATTTACTAATTCATTCATTAAAAAATCGAGTATTTCACAAGTTGTATATGCCCTTACCAAATATCGCTCCCCAGCATATTGTGATCCACAAGATATCCGAAGTGAAATAGCAGAGACCGGCTCCTATTGAAGCTAAAATGCAGCCAGTTGCAACAATAAGTCGTACGCCAAATCGTTGTCCTAAGTGTCCAACAAACACACCTAAAAAAATTGTCTAATTACCTTTGATATAAGAATTAAGTATATTTAAAATCATTCGCAGTCATACTTTAGAATTTTATTCCAGTTTAATACATATCCAGCATAGAATATGTTAAGAAAATCTTAAAAGAGATACACGTTATTCAAGTTCTTTCAAAAAATTCTTAACACCTTACACAGTGGAAGTGTGCATGTTGGTGGATCTATGTTTTTTCTTCATGACATGAGAATATGTACCGAAGATGTAAAAATTTGGTGAAAAGAAAACTTCTATTTCACTTCCTTCTCTAGATTTCAAGTTGATTCTCTAAATAAACGTTTTTATAGTCCAAAGGGGCTTTGTCCCTGAAGAACTATTGTTTTTGTTTTGCGATTTTGCGTCGAATCACTCTGAATGTCCGTTTCACTGTTCAAACTGTTGCCACCAAATTTTATCACCTTGTATTATATTTGAAGAAATTAAATAAAGAAGAATCTACATAAATGTATGTATGTTTCTCGCATTGGGATAAAACAACGGTACCTAGAGATATCTAATTTTGAATAACGTAATCCTACTGCGAATATGGGCATCTGGATGACCAAATTTGAAATTTGGAATTTGTTTTACTATCGGTTTCATATTTTGTAAAACTTTAACGATTTTTTTTATTAACAAACTCAACGATTTGAAAGCGAGCAATGGCAACACTTTTAAAAGGAGATTAAAAAAACCTTTTTATCTCCAGCGCGCGGATTTGAGTGTGGGGAATTCTAAAGATATGCTCATTTTAAAATTATTTTGCGAAATTGCAGTTGAACTGAATTTGATGGTTTAAGTGCAAAGAGCATTGTAATAAATAAATAAAGGTAACACACAAAACGTTAAAAAACACCTCTTTGGACGTAATTTAAAATCTGAAATCTTTCAGACTTTTTTTTAAATTTAAATTTTATTTTTGAAGAATTTTTTTTTTTTCAGTAGCTTTCTAATATTTTATCTGTGAGAAGCAGAAGGAAATATTGCAATTATTCTTTACTTAATTAAAAAATTATTAGTCCGGAAAATTCGAAAAAGTAGAGAATTACTTTGTGAAAGAATTACTGTGTGGGACGTAATTACATTCTATGACATTTATGTTTTAATATTCTGCATTCTGATCTATAATGTTTACAATTAGTAATGAACTAATTGCAGCTAAGATTTGACGATTCATATGACAAGATATTTCACTACTATTAGTTCTACCTCAATGAATAATACTAAAAGCTTATATTTCCAGAATGATCGTTAAACTTATTTATCCAATTCATACTTGTTAGCTCAGGGGTGGTAGCCTAGAAGGACTATTAGCCTGAAAAAGGTATTTTGGGCATTTCACTATAAACGGAGAATCACTTTTTAAAGTGCTCCCACCAAATAATATCGCTTTGCATTATATTTAAAGAAATTGAATAATAGAGAATATGAATGACTGTAAGTATATTTCTCGCACTGTGAAAAAACGACGGTAACTAGAGCTATCAAATTTTGAATAACGAATCGTCCACCCTAACAAGAGCACCGGAAAGCCCGAATTTGGAATTTGTTTTATTACCTAGTTCCTATTTTGTAAAACGTTAACGAATTTCGACTAATAAACTCAACGATTTCAAAGCGAGAAGTGGCAACACTGTACGGAAAAGCAGTTTTATCTCCAGTGTGCGAAACCTTCTATCGGAAATTCTAAAGATATGCTGTTTTTAAATATCTTGTGATATTGATGTTGAACTGAATTTTATGTGGTTTAAGTATGAAGAATATGATATTTAATAAATAAAGATAACACACAAAATGTTTTAAAAAGTCCGTTTGGGCATAATATAAAATCTGAAAGCTTTCAGGTTTTTTTTACTAATTCTAACAAAATTGGCTACTTTTCCGTTTCCCGATAATAGTTGCCAATAATAATACAACTGATGCCAAACGGAATATTCTCGCTGGTAACCTTTTGCACCTCATTTTCAAAACAAATCGCAGCCGCTTGTTATCAGATTGATTGTTTCTTTCAATACCGGCATAAAATTACATAGAATGTTTACCAGACAGTTCAATTTTATGCCCACTCGCGGTAATTAAGATGCCATCACCCCGTTCACCCGAAAGCGAAAATGTAGAAAAGGCAAAGTGAAGGGTTAAATTCATCCATTATAATGAGAATGCACTAGCGAAATAAAGCACTGCGAGTTTACATAAATTATTCATACGAATTGAAGTAATTCTTGCATTTAAACTTGTATTCCAAATTAAGATTTAACTTGAAATTGATGTAGATAACTGAGAGAATTAGATTTTTGTAGCATAGTTTACGAGAGATGAGATCGTTTGGGTCACGTGATACGAACCGGCGAATCAGGATGTTGAACTATGAAAGTATAGTAAATTCTTAAACTAATGTTATTTTACAAATTTATTGTCTTTATTCATTGGCTTTTTACAAAATTTTAAACGATATTAATATGCTTATGCCTTCAAAATAAAAAATTCTTAGAACTAACATTTGTTAACATTTTTTATGTGTATACTGTATGTTGTCGCCAATAAAGTCTACTTGGCGAGATTTGCGCCGGCGAAACGGACATTTACCCAAAATTGTGCTCAGGTAATGAAGTCTTTTTCTCTTTTATTCTGCAATATTTTCAAGTTTTAACTGTGATAATGAAGTGCACCGCATTCACGTAAAATGTATTTGAGAAAATGACTCGGAAAGTAAGAAAGTAAGCGTAATCAGAACAAAAGTAAGTCTCTCTTAAAAGCGAAGAGATATTAATACAAGAGAAGAGAAGAAGAAAAAAGTTAAAACAAGAATATATAATATGCCTGACAATAACAAAGGCCTTAAAAGTATTCTTAGCAGCTTTGCCAAGACATTTAATACTGAATTCGAAGCACGCATTCCTTTATTTAGCAGTATTCTTCCGAAGAAAACTTCTGTTTCAGTTACTTAGATAGATTTTCAAACTTTTGAAAATTCGTAATAAAAATCAAATCTTATACTAAATAGGCAGTAGAAAAGTTAGAGCGCTTTTCTTGAATATATTTTCTTTGAGAAAATGGGTAAATTAGTAAAACAGAATATCAGTGCCGAAAACTGTTTTCTATGGTAAGAAACTCTAATGAAGAAGCAAAGGTTGTGTGCACATTTTTTAGGAATTGTTGGCTTTCTGTTTTCATATATAAATATTAATAGAACTCGGTACGGTTTGTAAATTAGTGGCTCGCTAATATTTTGGGTAAATATGATCCATTGCCGACATTTACAATAGTAAAACATCAGCAGCAATTTGTTCGTGCTGCGCGTAAGCTAATAGACCCAGGGCTACGAAATTTGCTTTTTTAGGTGCATCTAGACAAGAGCCAGTGAACCTCGAAGCGATTTTTTAAAAAAAATTCGAATCATGTTTTTTTTTATTTTATCTTTTATATTTTATCACATCATTTTCAATGTTTTAGAAATGTGGTTTTGGCAACAGGTTTTCATTCAGTTGTATACTGGACTGCTGAATGTTGAATATCAGCACTGTTGCCATTTGGAAAAATGAGGACGATAATTCTGTGCACTTTTTAAATTTAATGTTTCTCTTGGATAAACGTTTGTTGACGTTTGTTAAACGTTTGTTGAGAGAAAGCAACAGGAGGATGGTTAATTTATTTATTAGGGTAATTAATATTTGTATTAAGGAATATTGCTTCTTTCATTGCAATTTTTTTATATGTAATACTTTATAAAAAAATAATTTGTGGGGTTTCTAGTCCAATGGGGCTTGTCCCTGAAGGACTATTGTTTTCGTTTTGAGATTTTGCTTTGGTTCATTATAAATGTCCGTTTCACTTTTCAAACTTTTGCCACCAAATGTTAGAGTTCTGCATTATATTTGAAGAAATTAAATAATGAAAATCTGCATAAATGTATGTATGTTTCTGGCATTGTGGTAAAACAACGGCACCTAGAGCCATCCAATTTTGAATGACGTAATCCTACTGCGAATATGGACATCTGGAAGACCAAATTTGGAATTTGTCTTATTATCGATTTCATATTTTGTAAAACTTTAACGAATTTTTGATTAACAAACTCGAGGATTTCAAAGCGAGCCATGGCAACGTTGTACAGAAAAAACATTCTTATCTCCAGCGCACGAGACGAATTCTAAAGATATGCTCAATCTAAAACTATTTTGCGATATTGCTCTTGAACTGAATTTTATGGTTTCAGTGTGAAGAACGTGATATTTAATAAATAAAGATAACGGAAAAAATATTAAATAAACGCCCCTTTGTACGTAATTAAAAATCTGAAATCTTTCAGATTTTTATTTTTTATTTTATTAATCTTTTTATGAAGTTGTTCTGCAGAGTAAACCCAGTTTCTAAATTTAACGTTTGGTGTTCTTTTCAGGCACTTTTCCGGTACATTTAAAAGCCAGACGAAGGCTGGCCATGTAGCTGCTAGTAATTAATATCTCGGCTGATTACATTCGTACGAAGATGAAAATGATGGTCGAAATGGTTTTCCAAGAATTTAAGGAATCCGGGGGTATCTCGCTCGAAATTCAACTCCCTGCTGTTCTGAAGAAGATGATGCCTCAAACAAACAGACAGAGATACACAGATTTTAATAGTATGGATTGAAGCCTATGCAGTATGATCTATCGACTATTTTTTTCATTTGACTGTTTTTTCATAATTCAACTAAAAAAAAAAAATCTGTCTCTATGAATGCATCGGATAAAATGCAATAAAAATGTATGAATATTTTCAGAATACTAAATTAATAAATTAGTTTTAAATAATTATAATTACCAGATAAGTTTCTTACAGATGTGCTGACACTGAAAGGAAGTGCAGCGCTAGCCCTTGTTACGTTAAATGTATCCACAGCAGCAACCAGTAACAGTCCTGAAAGCCTTGCCACCCCATACAAAAGGCAGTTGATAAAACAGCACGCAAATGCTATGACCCAGCTCCAGCCGTGGTCCGTTCTCTTCCGGGTTTGTCTGGGAGCCATTTCTAAACTTTGGCCCCTCTTTTTCATCCTTCACATCTGTATGGAACTAATCTTCCTGACATATTGGACACTTCCCTGCAAGAATGAAACTTGAATAAATGAGCGTAAAGTTGAAAGAAAATAGATGTAAAATAAATGAAAGAAAGTATATAAGGGATTACAGTTGTATTTGCTTCATTTAAATATGCAATTTTGAATTTTTAATAAAAATTTTGGTTAATTAGTATTTGCTATAAATGGTATGCAACATGAAATAAAAAATGCATAATATTTTATAATAGCAGAAATGTCGATTGACATCTATTAAAACAAAGGAAAAAATCGATTCCTTTGTTTTATAGATTTGGAATCACTAAACAGCAAATTACAATACCGTGCCTCTCTTTCACGGCTTTTTGCAATCAATAATTCATAATTGTGTTTAATTTTGAGCATACATGACTGATTGTGAATGAAAGAACTTTAAAATCTTAAAGACTGTAAATACGCGTAAAATTCTTTTTCAGAATATCAGTTATTTAGTAGTAGTAAAACATATATTTATATTTTTACAGAAATTTTAAACACTTTCTGATATTAGATATTAACATGAATAATTTTTACCATTGTAATAAATGTTGTTCTTTTAAGCATAAAATTTTTTCCGGTTAAAAGAAAAATAAAAACACTCGGCGGAAAATTTTACCTTTGTCTTTCATATTATAACAATGTAATATTCTTCAGCGAAACAAATTGAGCTATTTTAATACAATATACGAATAAAATAATACTTAAATTAAATTTTTATCGTTTTAGATAGCGAGGAGATTATTAACATAATATCTGATATTTAAGCTTTGGATTTCACTATTATTTTCATGTAAAATAGCATACGAAGATTTCTAACTTTAATGAATATTTATACCATTATTAGAAAGTCAATAGAAAAGATTCTAAAATCATGTCATCCTTACTTCGATTAATGCAGGAAACTCTTAATAACTGTCTATTTATGCTTTACTATCTGAATTCTTAAATTCAGTTTAATAATATTAAATAAATTCTTAATAACAAATACACACATTTTTTAACATCAAGCAGACAAAGTTTTATGTACTAAGAATTTTAGTTTATGCACTAAGACTTTTAGTTTATGCACTAAGCCTGGAACTTAAAAGTTTATGCACTGAAGATAAAGACTTTATTTCTATAGATTGCAAGAGTCAGTATTCTAACAATTCGAAAAGGAAAACGTAATTTGTGAATGATTTTCTAAAATCTCGAACAGACTTTACTAGATTTAAAATGGTAACTGACTTTTGCTTCAATGTTATTATCTAGTATATTCAGTTGGTACGTTTCAGGTCTCCAACGAGTTACATAATAAATTACAAGGAAAGACCACAATAGCCGATTTATATTTCATAATGCTAATCTGATCTTCTAATGATTCAATTTCCTTATAGTATTCATTCTGGAAAATTTAAATTAAATCATGTCATCGATATAAACCTCATTTTATATGGGCAAACAAATTTTCTTTTTGAAACCTGGTGTCAAATAATTTTACGTTATTAAATAAAACAACGACTTAATAAAAAAAGTAAAAATACACGAAGTGCAGAAATTTAACAGATTTATTCTATACAGAAACATAATAAAGAGAAATTTACTAGTGCAGAAATTTAATAGAAAAGAAAGGGACACATGCGAAATCATTGTCTCTGTTACACTGTGGTTTGCTTAGCTCATGGAGGTAGGAAAGGGAGGAGGGGGCATTCCGCGCTAGAAGTGAAGCACTGCTTTGAGGCTTGGGTCACCAGACGGGGTGTTCTTTGTTTACATTCAGAAGCTCGCTTGACAAGATTCTGATAGTATTTCGACACACGACAGTTCCATAGAAATCGAAAAAGGGACACTCTCGCATGAAAGAAACATTCATAGTGTGATGGATAATAGCAATTTGTATAGTTTACTGACATTTACGCAAAAATCTTGGTTATTTTTCGATAACTAACAACAGCGATTTTGATTATGAATTTGTTTTATAAAATTCTAAGCTGTTGCACTACAAAAATATAGATTTTAAGAAAATTGCTAAAAAAGATCTGCCAAAATTTATTTTCTAGAAGATTTGAAAATTTTGAAACTTGATGGCTAAATGTAAATATAAAATTATGTATGTTAAAATATTTGTAATTAGGCACATAGGTCAGATTAAGTTTTCATTAAATAGAGTAACGCATGCAAGGGCTATCTGCCTAAAGAGAGAGATGCCATTGTGGAGGAATTTTGAAGAAAAACTGACCTTTGAGTGGGTATTAAAAATAATACTTATAATTTTCATTCAAATTATATTCATATATATTTTTTATGTAAAACTTTCGGGTGTATGCTAAATTAGTGTAAATTACTTTACACGAAAAATATAGTGAATGCACAGAAATTAAAGATTTGCACATGCTGTAAATGATAAATAGGAAATATGTATGGGTATTTATGCAGTATTTCGCTAATTCCTAATAATTCTCTAATTTAAAATGAACCGAATAGAGCATTAATTATAAATTGACTTACATTTTTCGATTTAAAAGAAGCCAAAAATTCATGTCATATTTAAGAAAGTATTTTAGGAAGAAGCTCTATAAATAGAAAAGAAATAATGCATAATTTTAATATTAATAATACAATAAACTTTGATCTTAATTTTTGTACCTTAACCGAATAAAATCAAATTACCGTAATTTTTTTTTCTAATTTAATTAACGAAAACTTGTGAAAATATTTCATTCAAATTAAACGATTCTGAGAAAACTGTCCTGTGAAAAGTATAGCATTTAATTCCGTTCAGAATGAAATGTTGTTTAAAAATATGTTGTTTTCACATACTTAGGACTCTGAAGTGTTGTAGAAAAAGAAAATATATACATTTATATGTATATTTGCGACGTAATTACAAAATATTTACACCCGAACGCGTCAAATCCCATAGAACTCAATGGTAAATGACCCAATGTTTTGGTCACCATGTAGGGATCGCCGGTGCTTCAGACCAGGGTACGGAAAAACTTGTTTAGGGCGACTTCTTACTTCCTACCTCCATGGCTTAGCTGGAAATAAGAACTCAAAACGTTTTGTGCGTCGAAGAAGACTGGAGCGGAACGAGCTTGACACCTTTAGTTTTCTTTGTATGACGACTTAATTTCTATTGACTTTTTTCGTGTGGCGTTCGCCGGATATGATTCCTTTAGATTTCTTTCTGTATAGGTTTGTAAAAGAAAGAGTACATAGAAAATCTGCGGTCTATGCTGCAGATTTGCTTGCCCATATTATGGAGGCGACAGGGATGCTTTAAAACAAGTAGAATTAGCATCGCTCATACATAGCCAGAGCCGCAATCACATACATGTGTACTAAATTTTTTGAGTAATTATTTCCAGTTATGTAAACTACAGTTGCAATAAATACATTAATTTTTTGATGCATTTTAATCACAATTTTCCCGGACACCCTGTATTTAACTTCTTAAAACGAAACTGTCAGAAAGTTTTAAAGGGCTAACTACTTTAATTACCGAATCCTTGTTAAATGTTTATTCTTTACCTACTTTTAACCGCTTAATAGCTCCAGACCAAATTAATTAAATAAATATAGAAAATGGAACTAAACTTTTTGAAAAACTCATTTGAGTGTATCAATCGAAATATTTGGCCTACAGTCATTGCTAGTTTACAGTAATTTTATGCTCTCAGGAAATATTTACCGTTCAAAGCAACTCTCTTTACATTAACGACTAGTAACTAAATTAATATCTGGTATAATATTTAATTAATAGTTCCCGCTTTCTTCATTCGTCGTCGTAGTGCAATTACCTTTTTTGTTTCATAACTTTTTTAAACAATTCTGACTGCTACGAGTCATCTATATAAAAGAAAAGACTGTTTTTACTTCCTTGTACGAAGTAAAAAGGAGGTATTGTAATCACAAAAAAGTTTTAGGCATCATATTTCAACGCAAAAATCCATTTTCACCGCTATCAAATGCAATTTAAGGATGTTTTTGGCTGACATCTATCTGTACGTAAGGACAGAATAAATGACTCTCCCCCCCCGAAAAAATTGTAAAACTAATTTAAAATGAATTCTGAAGATAATTTTTCGCGGCGTCTGTGCGTACGTACGTACGTACGTATGTATCTCGCATAACTCAAAAACGAGTAACCTCAGAACGTTGAAATTTTGTATATAGGACTTCTATAACATGTAGATGTGCACCTCGTATTTTGGTTGCAATCGGCCGCACCAAACGTATATAAATATATGTGTATATATAGCCAGTCTGTTACTCGGTTCAGTGATCTCAGTTTCTTTATTCTTATATGTTTGTAAATTGTGCATTTTTTGCTTTAAAAATGATTGAATTATGCTTATCTTCCGGTTAAGGTTTTTATGCCTTTAATAAATCTGTAGGCAATATATTTAGAATTATGAACAATTTAAAGTTGTTTAAGTGCCGCTAAGCCTAATAATTTTTTTGATGGCGGCCATTGCTTGTTTACATTTGAATCAGCAGAATAGTAGATTTGTTGCCAATCTAGAGAAGAAAGTAAGCTTCGCAATAACAAAGATAACGCCTTGTTTTATTTTTGCGAACTAAATCATGCTTAATCCATTCTGGAATTTATTCGAGGAAATAAGTGTTTAAGATTTACTTCATAATTTTCAATACAGACATTTTGAGTTTTTGTATGTATTTTTGCCTTATCCCGAAGTATGGACTGAATTGACTGAATGAGAAATACTGAATAGTCTGTGAAAAACTCTTTCTTTCTTTCTTTCTTTTTTTTTTTTTTTTTTTTCTATTCTTTGCTTAATTTCTTTTATACATCGTTTTAGATTTATTATAGTTTTTGAATAGAACATGTGGAAGATTAGACAATTCTTAAGATGATATAAATTTTGTGCATTCTGAGTTAAAAAATGAACGAAATGTAACGCTGTTCAGTGAACTTAGGACCAGAGTGTCGCTATGCTAAACAAATATAGTGAATTTTAAAGAATGCATTTATTATACTGAGGTTTATGCGCTATCGACGA